CCTATCTCTTTCGGCTCTGTGCACAAATTCCCTTTACAATCCTTGATCGGCCCTACCCTTTCTCTGGTCATTCTCTTGTTCTGCACATACGTGTTAAAAGCCTTGGAGTGTTCCTTGATCCTATCCGCCAAGGTTTTCTCATGCCCCCTTATAGCTCTCCTAAGCCCTTTCTTCAGCTCCTACTTGGCTAACTTGTATCCCTCTAGAGCCTTTTCCGTTCCTCTTTTCCTAAACCTTACATAAGCATCCTTCTTCCTCTTAACCAGTCGTTCGACTTCTCTCGAGAACCATGGTTCCCTCACTCGACCGCATCTTCTCTGCCTGCTAGGGACAAACATATCGAGCACATGCAGTATGCATTCCTTAAACAATCTCCACATTTCTGTGGTGCTCTTCCTTGACAGCAGTTCTGTTGCTATGAGACGGAATTAGAATGATTGCAAGACATGCTCTTTATTGAATAATATAGAATCCATATGGGTAGAGGTAAGAACTAACAAGAGGAATAAGACATGCAAACAAAGAAAATAAATGGGCCACTTAGCCCTTTGAACCTGCTCTGCCATCAAAAAGATTGTGGCGGTTCGAATTTGAATCTCAACTCTCCATTTCTGTCTATTGCCAATAATCTTTCATACCCTTGGTAATCAAGAATCTATCAGCTACTGCCTCAAAAATATTTAAAGATTCTGCATTTACTGCCTTTTAAAGAAGGGAATTCCGAAGACTCATACACCCCTGAGAAAAAGAATGCTTGCTCGGCTCTGTTTTAAATAGGCGCCCCCTTATTTTTAAACTATGGCTCCTACTTCCACATTGTCTCATAAGAGGAAACATCCTTCCAACATCCACCTGCAGGAACGTGTATGTTTCAATGAAATTACCTCTGACTGTTTTAAACTCCAGAGGATACAGGTCTAGCTTGTCTTCTTTTTCCTCTTAAGGCAATCTTCTCATTCCGGGTATTGGACAGAGGTAGGAGTAGTCCAAAGACCCTCTGAACAGTAGTTATGCTAGTGGACAGTGAGTAAATCAGAGGCATGTAAAGAAAAAAGCATTACGTCAGTCCTGGGTGATTGCAATTTTCATTTAGATTGGGAAGATCAAATTAACAGAGGTAGCCATTAGGACATAATAAGAACATAAGAACTAGGAGCAGGAGTAGGCCGTCTGGCCCTTCGAGCCTGCTCCGCCATTCAATAAGATCATGGCTGATCCTTTCGTGGACTCAGATCCACTTACCCGCATTCTCACCGTATCCCTTAATTCCTTTGTTGTTCAAAAAAAATCTACGTTTTTTTAAAAGCGTTTACTGAAGTAGCGTCAACGACTTCACTGGGCAAGGAATTCCACAGATTAACAACCCTCTGGGTGAAGAAATTCCTTCTCAGTTCAGTCCTAAATCTGCTCCCTCTAATCTTGAGGCTATGCCCTCTTGTCCTAGCTTCACCTGCCAGTGGAAACATCCTCTCTACTTCTATCTTATCTATTCCCTTCATAATTTTATATGTTTCTATAAGATCTCCCCTCAATCTTCTGAATTCCAATGAATATAATCCCAATCTACTCAGTCTCTCCTCATAAGCCAACCCCCTCAACTCCAGAATCAACCTAGTGAACCTCCTTTGCACCCCCTCCAGTGCCAGTACATCCTTTCTCAAGTAAGGAGACCAAAACTGCACACAGTACTCCAGGTGTGGCCTCACCAGCACCTTGTACAGCTGCAATATAACCTCTCTGCTTTTTATTTCAATCCCTTTAGCAATGAAGGGCAAAATTCCATTTGCCTTCCTAATTACTTGTTGTACCTGCAGACCTACCTTCTGTGATTCATGCACAAGGACACCCAGGTCCCTCTGCATAGCAGCAGGCTACAACTTTTTACCATTCAAGTAATAATCCTTTTTACTATTACTCCTACCAAAATGTATGACTTCACATTTATTTACATTGTATTCCATCCGCCAGACCTTTGCCCACTCACTCAATGTATCTATGTTCCTCTGCAAAGTTTCACAGTCCTCTGCACACTTTGCTTTGCCACTCATCTTAGTGTCATCTGCAAACTTTGACACCCTACACATGGTTCCCAGCTCCAAATCATCTATATAAATTGTAAATAATTGCGGTCCCAACACCGATCCCTGAGGCACACCACTAGTCACTGACTGCCAGCTAGAATAGCACTCATTTATCCCCACTCTTTGCTTCCTGTTAGTCAACCAATCCTCTATCCATGCTAATACTTTACCCTTAATGCCATGCATCCTTATCTTATGCAGTAGCCTCTTGTGCGGCACCTTGTCAAAGGCCTTTTGGAAGTCTAGGTACACCACATCCACTGGGTCCCCATTGTCCACCTCGCTCGTAATGTCTTCATAGAATTCCAGAAGATTTGTCAAGCATGACCTGCCCTTCATGAACCCATGCTGCGTCTGCCCAACGGGACAATTTCTATCAAGATGCCTTGCTATTTCTTCCTTGATAATAGACTCAAGCATCTTCCCCACTACAGAGGTTAAGCTAACAGGTCTATAATTCCCCAGCTTTTGTCTACTTCCCTTTTTAAACAGTGGCGTCACATTTGCTATTTTCCAATCTGCTGGGACTGCCCCAGAGTCCAGCGAATTTTGGAAAATTACCGCCAGTGCACCTGCTATTTCTCCCGCCATCTCTTTTAGTACCCTGGGATGCATTCCATCAGGGCCAGGAGACTTATCAATCCTTAGCTCCATTAGCTTGCCCAACACTACCTCTTCCATAATTATGATTGTTTCCAGGTCCTCACCTACCTTCATCTCTTTGTCTATTACTGGCATGTTATTAGTGTCCTCCACTGTGAAGACCGATACAAAATACCTGTTCAATGCCTCGGCCATTTCATCATATCCCATAACTAAATTCCCCTTCTCATGCTCTAAAGGGCCAACGTTTACTTTAGCCACTCTTTTTCGTTTTATATATTTATAGAAACTTTTCCTATCTGTCTTTATATTCTGTGCTAGTTTTTTCTCATGTTCTATCTTACTTTTCATTATAGCTCTTTTTGTGGCTTTCTGTTGACCTTTAAAGTCTTCCCAATCTTCTAGTTTCATGCTGTTTTTGGCCACTTTGTATGCCTTCTCTTTCAGTTTGATGGCCTCCCTTATTTCTTTAGACACCCATGGCAGATTACCCCTTTTCTTACAGTCCTTCCTTTTCATTGGAATATACTTTTGCTGAGCACTTTGAAAGATTGCTTTGAAAGTCCTCCATTGCTCATCAACTGTCCCACCATAAAATCTTTGTTTCCAGTTTACTTTAGCCAAGTCCTCCCTCATTCTGTTGTAGTTCCCCTTGTTCAAGTACAGGACCCTTGTATTGGATTTTATCTTCATACTCTCCATCTGTATTCTAAATTCAACCATACTGTGATCACTCCTTCCAAGAGGATCCCTAACTATGAGGTCATTAATTATTCCTGTCTCATTACACAGGACCAGGTCTAGGATAGCTTGCTCCCGCGTTGGTTCCATTACATACTGTTCAAGAAAGGACAAATTTGTAGATTGTATTCAGAATAGTTTTCTAGAGCAATATGTTGCAGATCCTACAAGGGAATAGCTATTTTTGAACTGTTATTGTGTAATGAGGCATGATTATTAAATTATTTCTGAATAAAAGATCCCCAAGGGAACAGTGACTAGTAAAATTTAACATTCTGTTTGAGAGTGAGAAGCTTGGGTCAGTGTTTTCAAAAGGGTAATCATGTAGAAATGAGACAGTGTTAGGTGGATTAGACTAGAAAGGACTTTAGCAGAAAAGATGTTTGAGGACCAATGCCAAATGTTTAAGATAATCTTGATGAATTATAAGAAAGACATATATCAGTGAAGAAGAAATGGTCTAAAAAGGAGATAAACCAACCAAGTTTAATTAAGAAAGTTGCGTCAATTTATCATGTTGAAAGAAATGTGGCAAAAATTAGTGGTAAAGTGAAGGATTGGGAAGGCTTTAAAAGCCAATGAAAGGGGGAGAAAAACTATGAGGGCAAACTAGAAAATAGTATAAATTGGACAGTAAGACCTTACTTAAATATATAAAAAGGAAGAGATAGGTCAAAGTGAACAGAGGCCACTTAGAGAACTCGGCAGGAGAAATAATTTTGGGCAACAAGGAAATGGGAATTGAATAAATATTGAATTGAATTGAATAAATGTTGCACTGAAATTTGGAGTGGGCACTCATTGGATTTTTTGCCCATAGGTCAATAGGGGGAAGAGAAGACATGCCTCATATTTAAGGTGCTAACTGCCTTATTCAGGTAAGTCTTCCTTCATTGACTAATGTACTGAACAGTAGTAGGTGGGTAGGGTGGCACAGTGGTTGAGGTGTCAATGTGGTGAGTTTGGGTCAGGGAGGATTTGGGGTCAGAACATCAGGGTGGGGCAGCATGAGCTGGAGAGTTGGAGTCAGGAAATTAAGATGGAAGAGTTGGAGGGTCAGGGGACTTGGAAGACCCAAGGAGGAATTGGGGAGTTCAGGGTTGGAGGATAGGGGGAGCTCAGAGGGTGAGGGTGGCCACGGAGTGTAAGAGGTAATTGGAGAGTCGGGGTTTGGAGGATAGTTGGGGTTGAGAGTCAGAGGTTTAGGAGTTCGGAAGGTTGGGGTACTGGATTGTTGGGGGGGGGTCAGAATTCAGGGGTGAAACTGGTAGTGTTCTCAATAGGGACTGTGTGTGTGTGTGTCGGGGGTGGGGTACGCGGAGTTAATATGTGTTTAACCTATGACTATCCCAGTTTATAGTTGAATCTCTCCCAACACAGTGGGGTATTTCCCTATCATGTTGTGACAGGACTTCGCATGGATCTTTGGGAAAGCGCCTGGCTGGGGCATTTCACAGCAACTCAGAATCTGCAGCGAGGTACAATACCGGCCGGGTTTGGAGTTGTCCCCGTCACGGCGTTGCCAAATTTTACATAAACCGCAGCACAGAGACAAGCGCTGTTCTAGGCGGTCACACCTCTCTCTCTCTCTCTCTCTCTCCAAGGAGGCGCTCGGTTCACGGTTTGGTTCAGTTCACAGTAAGTAAGCAATCCGCAGGAGCCGTGCTGTCTGGACTTGGAATTACATTCTCCTTTCGATTTCTGAAAGCGAAGTGTTTGCAATCTTGTTTAAGAGAAGTTTTGAAATCCGCTGGCTGCGGGAATTACTAACGATTGTGAGTGTTCTCTGTTGAAAATCCAGCTGTTTTTCACCTTTCAGTGAATTGAAGGATTCTACCAGCAGCTCCTATTTTCTTGTTCCAAACAGTGTAATGCCAGTGCTTCTTTTTAAATTCTGCTTTTGCTTTCTCTGACACTGTACATCTTGATGTGACTCGAAATTGCTCGCTACGTGAAGTCTTGCTATCCTGGTGATAAAGGGCGGTTTTCGAACTTACCTGTTGCGGGATGGTTGTGTTAAATATTACAGAAATATCGATATTGAGAATGTTCATACAGTTGCATTTCAATCTGAGATGTCTGAGATGCTGGGGTGATAATTGGAAGATTGTATAAGGGAGGAACCGCCATACCTCTTCACAAGGGGTTCCTCCTGTTGTAAACTCAGACAGAAAATCCCCTGAAATTTTTGCGCTCGGTATTAAAGGTGGGAGAATGGAAACTTGGCAGAAGTCGCAGAAATTCACTGAAATCCACAATAACAGAAAGACTTTCTGTACGAAGAGCGAAAAGATAGTCAGGAAACATGCACCGATGAAAGGTGCTGAGGACCGTAATAAGTTTATAAGGGTGAAAAATCAGGGGAATGAACAAATTGACAGAGAGCAACAGATGAAATGAAGATTGCGTGAAGAGATAGAAGTGAGAAACTGTGAGAATCTAACAAACTGTTTTCTGGGTTAAATCGCTTTGTTTTAAGATTGCTCCTTAATCCCTTCAAAGACCGAAACAGCTAACATCAGCAGAAGTGTTAAACAACGACAAAAAGTGCTTGGAGAAACTCGGGAGGTCTGGCAGCACATGTAGATAGGGAAACAAAGTTAACGCTTTCAAGTCCATTATTTCAGATCTGTAGCATCCGTCGTATTTGCTTTTATTGTCTGAAGTGTTATTTAGTTTAGTCCCAAGACTGCTGAATTCCATATGATAACCCTTTCAAGCAGTTATTATGTTGAAAACCAGAAGGCACAAATCAAGGATAACACAGTGTGGAGCTGGATGAACACAGCAGGCCAGGCAGCATAAGAGGAGCAGGAAAGCTGACATATCCGGTCGGGACCCTTCATCAGAAATGTGGGGAGGGGTAGAGGGCTCTGAAATAAATAGGGGGGGTGGGGCTGGGGAAGGTAGGTGGGATGGCAATAGGTGAGTGCAGGTAGGCAATGGTGGGGGTTGGTCAGTGCGGTGGGAGGAGCGGATAGGTGGGAGAGAAAACGGTCAGGTCAAGGAGGCGGGGATGTGGGGGTTGGTGCTGGTCTTGGGATGAGGCCGGGGTGGGGGAGATTTTGAAGCTTGTAAAGCCCACATTGAGGCCATTGGGTTGTAGGCTCCCAAGGCGGAATATGAGGCGCTGCTCCTCCAGTTTCCAGGTGGCGTCATTGTGACACTGGAAGAGGCCCTGGATGGAGGGGAGATAGTAGGAACTGCAGATGCTGGAGAATCCGAGACAACAAGGTGCAGAGCTGGATGAACACAGCAGGCCAAGCAGCATCATAGGAGCAGAAAGGCTGACGTTTC